AGAAAAAAGTCAGAATTCTGAGAAAACTGTAGGAATGCTGAGATTAAAGTCAGAATTCTGACTTTTTTCTCATATTGTACTGAAATAAAATATAAAAATCAGTTAACTTTTTTTTTTTTCCAGTGGCCCTAATCCTCTTCTGTAGTAAACCAACATAGCTGTTGATACCTACTACTAAAGAGCATTATTAAAAAAGTTGCCAACTTTTAAAACGTATTTGATTAGCCACGTTTTGGTTTGTAACTCTTCAGAGGTATAAATTCAACTCCAATTGTAAGAATGATAAAAACATACAACACAGTTATTGTACATAATAAACTAAATTTAGTAAGTGAAGCAACACAGTAAAAAAATGACATTTGTTGATGTTGAGAAATAAGAAAGAATCAATAATATGCACGTTTAAAAATGTATCTTTAAGAAAACACAATTTTGTCATAGAAAGGCTTACATTTACTAATTTTAGAGGAATTCTATCTTCCCTTTGTAACAATATACAACTTCAACTGTTTTTGCAAAGAATACTAAAAGTTTAGATAATAAAGAAAAATCCTAAAAAATAGAGACACCACATTAAATAAGCAATATACGATATACATTTAAATATTTACCGCTATATAAAATTTGCAAATATTGTAATATAAAGACGTCAGTTAAGTGATAATAAACAAATAGTACATATAACGGTTTGTTGTCGCCCTCTTGTGGTATTAGTGAGAAATACAGCTGCTAATGACTACTACCATAGACTGACCCACCGCTCGATATACGTATTTTTGGTTTACATGTAAATAGTAAACTGCTGTAGAAAAATGAGTAATTACAACTATTTGTCATTGTTAAGAATCAAGATTTATTAATTGCCATCCATTGAGTAATGTTGTTGACACACCTGACAGGGAATGTATACATAGCACACAGACATAAATAAAAAATAGTAACAAAAAATACCAAACATCCTTGGACGAAAATATGACATATCATTAAAAATGCAACATTAATACGCAAAGCACAGCTTGAGCCAGAGCAGTCTAGGAAATGACAGATGATGAGAAATAAATTAATCGTAAAAATTTTACAGAGATAAAATAAAACCTCACAAAAAGCAAAGTATGAAAAATGCAAGGAAGAACTGTAGAGGCAATTATTGGGAAAAAATATCGTTGCTGAAAACTCAATTTAACCACAAGAAGGATCAGTAACCACTGACTGTTTCTAATTGCTACACTGGAAAAAATCAATACCTAGATAAGTCATTTCTTCTTAAAATAAGTGCATTTGTTCTTGAACTGAGGAGGTAAAAGTGACATTTTGCCAATAGAACAAGACAATTTACATTTAAAATAAGAAAACACAATTGCCTTGTCTTATTTCCAGAGCATTTTATCTAATTATCTTATTCTAAGAGTAAGAATATTCATTCCATTGGCAAACTATCTCACTTACCTACTCAAATCAAGGGTAAATACACTTTATTTAAGAAATATTTACTTATTTCTATATAAATAAAATAGTCAAAATCAAGTTTCCCCCCTTGTGTTTAACTAGTTTAATAGTGCTGCTTGCCCTATGTGAAACAGATACCTTATAAATTCAGTTTTCTGTGTTCCTGGAAGCTGTCAATTCACAGCCAAGGTATTCCTTCCCTTCCTTTTTAGACAAAGAGTTAATGATACAATTAGAGTAACAATCGTACAAAATATTTATAACGTGTGCATTTAATAGAAAAATAAATCCTTTTAAGGGCATAAAATGACATATATTTAGTATGAAAATAACAATTTTTAAAAATGTCATTCTAATGTGCAATTTCTTTTAATATCTGGTGTTCAAATAGGTTTAAATGTTCTAGTTAACCGTTCACATCAACCAGAGACTGTAGCTCCCCCTTAGGTACATAAAGTAAATTATAAGGAGAAATAATGGATCATTTGTAATGCTTCATAGTTATAGAACGAGGTAAAGTGTTTTTAGAATATATAGGAACAAAAAAAAAACAAAAAAAAAAAACACAAAAATATTCAAAAAGCAACCCATCATTGTCCACTCTAGTTTATCAGTGCAGCTGCCGAAAATAATCAGCCTTCTAAATAAGGGAATGCTGCCTAGACTAGTAAACAGTCGCCCTCTTGTGGTCATAATAGGGAACTACGTATATTGCAGAGTCACAACATGCAGGATGTCATTACTTCCGGTAAGACCCTTCAAAACAAGCAAAAAAAGATAAATACGTGTTTTATTTCTCAAAAAGAACAAAACTATATCCTGACTTCCATGCTAATCCATTTGTAATGAAAGCGAGGTGCATTTTAAAGTATTTTATGCAAATAATGCCTTTTGTATATTTAAAGCATCTGATACAAATTAGTCTTCTTATGAAAATATTAAGTTTTTATGTATTTTTGGGAAATTATTACTTTGGTTATTATTCTTTATGCACGGAAAAACATAAGTAATCTTGGGAGTAAACAGCTTTTTAACGCGTCATTTTAAACCGTGGCTTTTATTTTTTAAATATAAACCGGAAGTTGATAGCATTTCCGGCTACTTGGTGATTTTTGTGGCCCCAACGAAAAAAATGCTACCCTTTGTTAGCAGAAGTGGAGAAAAATATTTTCTTCATTAAGGTTATCTTAATCGATCAGTCATTTTCCAGTCGATTATTTAGTACTTAATAGCCAAAGTACAATTAGTTAATTGTATTTTTTTTTGACAGTTTAACTTCTCTAGCTGTTAGTTAGCAGGTTAGCTGCCCAGACAACAGCCGCAGCCTGGGAGAGGATGTCTCTTCACGGTAAAAGAAAAGAAATCTATAAATACGAAGCGCCATGGACGGTTTATGCCATGAACTGGAGCGTCCGCCCGGACAAACGCTTTCGGCTGGCCCTGGGGAGCTTTGTGGAGGAATACAACAACAAGGTGCGTAGCGTTGTTTGGTTAGCAGCTAGGACCAGGTTAATGCTAACTACCTTTTCAACCACAGTGTTGCTTAATGTGCTTTGGTCTTCAATAATACGTGTGTTTATAATTTTTATCACCCTTAAGAGTCGTTTTACATCCTTTTATCCTGTCTTAATCATTTCCCCTGTGTTTGCTCCTCCATATAATCAGGTTCAGCTGGTTGGTCTAGAAGAAGAGAGCTCAGAGTTTGTCTGCAGGAACACATTTGATCATCCTTACCCAACCACCAAGATCATGTGGATTCCAGACACCAAAGGAGTTTACCCGGACCTGTTAGCCACAAGCGGGGACTACCTGCGCATATGGAGGGTGAGATGGATGCTGGGTTTATTACAGGGGTCCTGCACCATGCAATTTATTCTAAAAGTATTTTTGAAGAATTGAAACTCCCTTTGTTGTTCCACAATATGGATTCTGTGATGTTACAGCAGCAGGTGATTTTAGCAAAAGTGGTCACACAGATGTGGACCTTAAAAAGTGTATAAAAATAACAATAAGAGACTGAGTTAAAGAAAATACTTTACTGTACAGTTTTTTTTCACAATATAAATACTGTGTATCTGGAGAATAAATAATCAATATACGCCTGTGGACCTTTTTACAGTAATACATATGTGAAAATAGCAGCAACATCAGAGATGTGCGAAATGACAGCAGCATGTTGTTTAACTTACTAAGATAGAAACTGCAAAAATCAGCATGAATGTAGCAACTTATTAAGGTTGTTGGGAACAGTGATGGTTAGAAAGTCTTCAAGCTTGATGTTAATTTTGTTTCAAGAAAATATTTGTACTTCTATCATCCATCCACCTACAGAATTATCTCTTTGTCTTTGTTTTCCTTGAGATTTCTGCCATAGAAATATCCATAACAAAGTAATTTTGAGCTTGAGTTCATATTTGAAAATCATCTTGAATAGTATATAGGAACCCATTAACATTTTTTATATGGGCGCCTTTAATCTCTGATTAAAAAAACGTCTAGAGTGATAAAAAACAATATTTTGAACTCTATTTGAATACCGTGATAAATATCCACAATCCTATTTTCCATCACCAGATTTCTACCCAACTGATCACTGCTTTTAATTAAACAGAATTAAACATAATCTAATACACTTGATAAATGTATTTTAGAAGAACAATTGTGGAGAAAAGTAACCATTGTTTCTTGAGAGTATTCCGAGGAGACCGTTTAAAGGGGAACACCGTTTTTTGTTTTTGTTTTTTTAAACATTGGGCCCTTGATTTTACTTTATTCCATCATGTTCTACTTACCCATGTTAGTTTTGTGTCAGTTGGAGCTGTTCTGAAGATATTCGGTTTTGTAATATCCAAGTAATGTCTTCCTAGTCTTCCTATGGGTACTGAGTTGAAGGCACAAACTGAACTGTTCATAATTTATTCTTTATGGTACGGCAGTATTCATAACATGTAGGCGAATCACGCTCCCCCAGACATCCACGGTTATATTTTTCATATTCATATTCTTTTTTTAAGCAAAGCGGAGTGTGCATGATGTCATTTGCGCGCCGGACTGGAGTTGTGACAGGCAGCCCGGGCCACAGGCGGCTACGCTCTACCCCTTCTATTCATTCAGCTAGCTAATGTGAATCGTTCAATTCCATTTAGAGACATGAGATCATCTGTGGTCGTAGCACTAGACATCTTCCAGGCATGTGAGTAAAACTAGCAGCAGTTCAGCGGACAGGATGGTAGCCAGCGCGCATGGATGACGTCATACACACTTAGGTTTGTTTTAAAAAAATATAACCACGGATTTCTGGGGGACAGTGATTCGCCTACATGTTATGAATGCTGGCGTACCATAAAGAATAAATTATGAACAGTTTAGTTTGCACCTTCAACTTATTGCCCATAGGAAGACTTTACTTGGATTACAAAACCAAATATCTTTGGAACAACTCCAACTGACACAAAACTAATATGGGTGAGTAGAACATGATGTAATAACGTAAAATCAAGGGGCCAATGTAAAAAAAACGGTGTTCCCCTTTAAGAAAAGGCTCAAACCGTTTAAAAAAGATAGGAGTTGGAAAAAGGGCAATAAACATCAATAAGTGCATTTAGTCACCGTACATAAGTGAATGCATATTTTTGCGATGGTTGTAGCTGCGTTGGCTATGAATGAAGATGCATGTAGTCACATCTGTATGTGTATGTTTATGTGTACATTAATATTTAATTTGCTCAGTTAATGGACTTTTGGAGTATATGAGAATATATGAGAAGAGTTAAATAGGAATCGGTAAGATTGTTGTTGTTTTTTTTTAGAACTTTATCATAGAATGACTGAATAAGTTTCACTTCCTCATACCCCCTTTCAGACGCACGCTATAAATTATACAATTTATGTAATATGTATTATTAATACTTAAGTTTTGAATGTGTTTAAGTTGTAATTGTACTGTATTGTCTTTTTCAGATTTATGAACTCATTCATTACTATTCAAAGAGCTAATTATTATCATATTGTTATTATAAGTTGTGTTTTCATCCTCATTTAAATTGTACTTTTTTGCCTTAAAGGTCAGTGACACAGAAACACGCCTCGAATGTCTGCTGAACAACAACAAGAACTCAGACTTCTGTGCTCCCCTCACCTCCTTTGATTGGAATGAAGTTGATCCCAATCTGTTGGGTAGGAAACTGTATTTTTAAAACCCGTTGACAACAATCACTTTGGCTGTCATCTCATCCTTTAATATGAGATTATTATCCTGAGTTGTTATTTTCCTCCGTCTCATAGGAACATCCAGCATCGACACCACCTGTACCATTTGGGGGTTAGAGACAGGTCAGGTGTTGGGACGAGTTAACTTGGTTTCTGGTCACGTGAAGACTCAGCTGATTGCCCACGACAAAGAGGTTTGGAGTTTGAAACCAGTCCTTGTTTATTTCGTCATATAAGGGCAACATTTTAACTGATCTTTCAAAGCTTTTTTTAATCAATAGTTCTCTGGGTGTTTTGAAGCTCTTTTAAAATTTTTGGTCAGTACTTTGCGGAGTAATATCCCAGCTTAAGCTCAGCGTTGCTTTGCCTGACTGTAAAACTCCATTGTTAGTAGTCTTTGTGTTTTTACCAAACACACAGAGTTGCTAATACAGTGATTCTTTTTCCAGTAAACATTGTAGTTTTAAAGTGTGGTTCATGTGTCAGTAAAACAATCTAGGTCAAGGTGATAATTCTTCCCCCCCAAGAACAAAAACAAACTGTAACAAACAGCAGAGGAAAATCAAATAATTGTTTACCAAACAAATAACGGGAGGAGATAATTTCGAGGTCAATTCAAGAAGCAAAACTCTTGCTACTGCAGCCTAGAGTCAGAAACCCCCTGATTTAGACACATTTATAAAAAAAAAAACATGGTCCAGGTGTTTAAGAACATACCTGAACTCAAAGATTGACACAGCAAAGCAAGAGTCCCCATTATTGATTAGCAGATATGTATTAAGCCCTATTATAGCAAAAAAATAATTGGCAACTTAAAACAGTAATTTACAGAGTTCAGAAACACTTCTTTGTCCCCTCAGGTTTACGACATTGCTTTCAGCCGCGCAGGAGGAGGCCGAGACATGTTCGCCTCTGTTGGCGCTGATGGATCCGTCCGCATGTTTGACCTCCGACATTTAGAGCACAGCACCATCATCTATGAAGACCCTCAGCACCACCCGCTGCTTCGCCTCTGCTGGAACAAACAGGATCCCAACTACCTGGCTACGATGGCCATGGATGGGATGGAGGTCAGTGTCCAGAGTGGAAGATCAGCGTTTATGTGGGAGGAAGCTGTAGTATGCTTTTCAGTTTATTTTTCCTCAGAATATTTAGATAAAAAAAGTTTTCTGCATTTGTTTTTATTATCTGATGCCTATAAATAAGACCTAATGAAACTATATTGCCTTTATCGACTCTATAGATCACCCTGAACACACCAAATCCAAATAAGGCATGCATGCAATACATGTTTTCTCCATTTGTGTTTTGGTGTGACAGGTGGTGATTCTGGACGTTCGTGTGCCATGCACTCCTGTGGCCCGGCTCAACAACCATCGCGCCTGCGTTAACGGGATTGCCTGGGCTCCTCACTCCTCATGTCACATCTGCACCGCAGGTAAGTTAGACCATGTGATGTTGGGGGAATTATCAATTTAAAAGTGAACGTTTTTACTGAAAAAGAATTAGTGTGGGAAGGATCATGAGGTATTCCCTTCTGCCTTTTAGCCGACGACCATCAGGCTCTGATCTGGGACATCCAGCAGATGCCTCGCGCCATCGAGGACCCCATCCTGGCCTACACGGCTGAAGGCGAGATCAACAACGTTCAGTGGGCCTCCACGCAGCCAGACTGGATCGCTATCTGCTACAACAACTGCCTGGAGATCCTTCGTGTCTAAAGCCGTAGAAAACGAGTCTCACGTTTCACATCTGAACTTTTCCCAGCCCTCGTCCTCCGGCTTTCAGGGCGAGGCCTCTTGTGAACTTTCTGGACTCGCCGGAGTATCATGAAGTTGGTTTACATTTATCTGCTCTTCTTATAAACACATTTAAGCTCTTATTTATTTTGCGCAGCAGCTGTAGGAAGTGTCAATGTTTTTGTTGAGGTTTTTTAATACACCTCAGCCAGCTGTAAGATGATCTGAGCCCTTTAGATCTCAAGCATTTCATCTCTTTAGTTCGGGGTTGATACAAACTGCTCTAGGTGGCAGATAATAATATGTAGGATTAACTCGTAGCCTTCTTGTGGATGCGTACCATATTATTGGTGAATCAAGCATCTGTACAGTATCTTATAGTCTTGTTTACCTTATGTGGGAGTTTAAGATGTTAAATGGTCATCTTGGTTGATGTGCTACAGACACTGATGCAGTGGACACTTGGTCTACCAGAGCAAAGTTGGCTCCCTGGATATCCTATTTGTTGAAGTTTATTCTTAGAAAATGTTGCGTTTTTCTTAAGTTAGAGGGGTTTGAAATGAGTGACACAGCTTTCTGCTTCTCTCTTTTGTGTCTTCAGTCTCGTCCTTGTAGCATGCCATTGCAAGGCCAAATGTACATATATATAAATATATCAAACTCAAGATGTTGGTAAGCCAAGTGTTCATGTTGTAGTGTTTTTTTCATAAAGTTTAATATTGAATTTGCTCTAATAAATTGTAACCTCCCCATAAGTTTATTGTGTTGCTTTTTTTCCTTTTCAGATACTTCATTATTCATATGTTTTACCCTGACAACTACCGGTATTAACTTTTTTTTAGAAATATAATCTAAAATCAGTTTAATGGTAGACTGATAGAAATGTTTATTTAGATGTTGTGAAATGTTAGTTGATTTGATCCAATCTTAATTTGTTGCTGTTCTTAGGCAGAACTTGTAGGAATTTTGCACATGTAATTAATTTAATTCTGTCCTTGATGTTCTTGGACAAAATTGACTTTTCTGCCTTAGGCCTTTTGTTGAAAAGTCTTCACCTTTGTGAATATGCACTAAAACGCAGGGGCTGCTGGTTTAGAGCAAGATCTACACCAGTTGCAACGTAACTACGGTATCGTAGCATACAGAACTCCTCATAAGCTGCGTTCTTTGGAGGAAACCATCGCTGACTCAGGAGGTAAACAATTACAAGCTTGGCCTATTCATAGGGTGATCGCCCTATGATTTTAGCTGAACTATATTAAGATAACATATTTAAAATCTTCATTGTTCCATAACCGTTGCTCATGTTCTTTCCACAGAATGTATGTGGTGCCTCAAAATTTGCAGCCTCTTACTGCCACAATAAGTCTCCAGTCCACCATTATAATGCTCACCCTCCCAGCAGCTCATTTTATGCTTTTTTTAGGGAGGTTTTTTGTTTTTGCTTTTGTAGGTAAACAGGTTAATATTCCATTATCAAATGTCATTCGGCATCATAATGAAATCTATTGATTAAGAATATGATGACACGTAAGTTCTATTTTATGGTAACATACAAAGCTAAGCATTATGATGTAAGCCTTCTTCATTATGAAAATAATCAGTAAGACTGATTTCAGTCATGGATTACAATAAATGTAGAAGTCCAACTAATTTTTAATGTAAAGATCACATTTTACTTCATATAATTTACAAAGTTGTAAATTTTCCCAAGAAATGATTCATCGGGGTGTGACTGAATAGCTGCCTATTCAAGTGAACTTATGTAACCCATCAGATGGACTTCCAGGCTCTTACAATGACTGACTGGGTTATCATGGAAATACAGAAACTAACAAGTCATTAAGAGCATGGAAAAATAAAAGTGTAGAGGTTTTTTTCAAGACTTCCTTTGTGATTTCCTGTGTATGTTTGTCCATCCATCCATCCATCCATCCATCCATCTATCCATCCATCCACAACCTGGGCTCAGTAGAAATATCTGAAAAAGATGCATACTCCAGAGATGTATTTGTTCCTGTTAATCACAACTGGATTTACACATCCTATGGGCATCAGTTGGCTGCATGATGTCACTAAAAAGACACACACGGCAGAAAGGACCTGTAAATGTACAGAGGAACTTTTTTCTATATTCATACCAGGCCTTCCTGATAAATGACTTCTGATTTATATCACAGCAACAAATGTGGGATGAAAATTAAAATCTTCATTCACAATGTGCCAGACAGTTATTTTATTTAACATCTTCAACAGTAACACTGACTAACAGTCATTATAGTTACGTCTCTCTGCAACCAGCATCTAAGTACAAAAATACAGTTTTTTTTATCGATTGAGCCTAAATGTGCAATTCTTATACAAAGTGAATTAAGATATATCTCAAACATGTTAGGGCTTTTAGTTTCTCCCTCCTTAATGGAAACCTGAGTCTGGGATGCAGATTGTTTTTCAGATCCAGTGTAGATCAGTGTGAATACTGTCTAGATTTGAGACTGGTAGACAGGAACAGTCCCTCTTTATTGCACATGTTCCTAGAGGTACTCTCTGAGGCTTTACAATGCAGGAGGCACTCTGAACTCTCTCTGATGCAGGAACCCTGACATCCCTTGCTTCACTGCTTCACAGCAGCATCATTCAAGGAGAGGAAGAGGTTAATTAGTGTATTAGGGGGTCCATCTGGATAAATGGCTTTATGCCTGCACCGAGTTGTCCTATGTGCCTGGCAGGACAGGGTCAGAGACGTGTCTTTGGATTTCCTGCATCTCTGTGGAGGTCTGGAGGTTCTCAGGAAGGGAGGGGAAACGCTGGCTTCCACTGAGGAGTCCGGGAGCTTCATGGGCATCAGGAGATAGGAACTGAGCAGAGGAGGGGTCTGCAGACTGCAGATGAGGTGGGTCAGCCTCTGGGGACATGGTGTCATCTGATGCAATTGTGAGATGGACACCGCTGGAGAGGGAGTCTTTAGATTTGTGGTTAAAGTCTGAATCAGAACTCTGAAAACACAAAGGATAAAATTTAGATGTAAAAAAAAATTGTGAGAGCCTAATACATTTTTTGGTTATATTAAAAATACATTTAGTCTTTTATATGAATCTCTCTTAAAGATGTTGATAAGCTTTTCCATTGTAAGTTGTATTTCGACCACGTTTCTTTACACACTGCTTTGGGAAGATTTTTAAAAACAGGTCAGAGATAACAGTGGAAATATTTGAAGTAGGATTATGTTAATGCATAAAATGATATTCCAAGCTCTGGCATTTAAAAAAACACAGCTCCTCATCCAAAAAAGAAAGAGCATGGTATTACATCAAACCTGCCAAGGTGTATCCATCTAAACTGAAAGGGAGAGAAACAGTCAGGGCATCCACTGCAATGCTCCCAAGATCCACAGCTCAGGTAAGAGTTGGAAAGAATAAATTCATAGTTGAGAAATACTCAACGGAATCCTAATATTCAGTAAAAATTAATTATTAAATATTCTATTTTAATGTTTTTGTTGCCAAACGCTGTGCTGTGGACATGTGGAAAAAATGCTACATGTGACAGCAAAGAATGGATATCATCCTGATCAAGACTCTTTAATAGACCTAAAGATAAGGTGATGGCAGCGTCATGCTAGGGGAACAAACTGGAGGCTGAGGAATGCTCTCTATCTGACTAAGCTTGAGCTAGTTTCCAAAATAAAGCCAATCCAAAAAAATATAAAGCTGGTACAAACAAAAAAGAAAGTCTTGCAGTTATAAATGGGAAAAGTTTGTTCTAGAAAGCATTGATTCAAATTTAAAAACTATAATTCAAAAAGTGTACAGTTTTCCATCCCCTTCCAAATCATAAGCTGCTTTTTATTTCTCCACACCATAAAAACCCAACAAAATTCACTGCGCTATGGGGCTGACATCACAAGAGGGGAAAAAAAAGTTTTGTTCTCTAGGCTGATCCAAATTCTTGTCTCATAAATAAAAAACAAAGCATCTGAATTCTGGGAACCCCATTTTTTTCATGTTGTTCTTTTTATGAACAATGTTTCCTATTTCTGATCAGAGAACGTATTTATTTTTGCCTTGCAGGGAATAGAATTTTAAACACCAGATAGATGTAAATTACTTTACACCACAAAGCCCTGATTTATAATTAAAATGTAAATATGCTTAAATGTAGGAAAAATGGGACTATGATGCATAAAGAGGGGGAAAAAAAATGCAGTTTTGATACCTGTAGCAGGGAGGAAGTGCAGTCTATCTGCACTGTCTGGACCGGGGGGACGGTGTGAATTGTGGGGGCTCCTGAGGAAAACAGGGTGGTGGGGTGAGGCAGGTGAGTGCCAGGTGACACAGCGCTGTAGGCAGGAGGTACTGGGGTCATCTGCCTCTGCAGAAGCTGCAGTATCACATTGATATCTGCAGTCATGCGGGTCTCCAGCCTGGGGAGGAAATAAGGGATAATGTTGCTTAAATGGGACCTAATAACAAAAAGGCAAAAAAAAATAAAACGCTGTGGATGGACTTCGGTTTAGAAGGCCTCCAAGTGCCATTTAGTGCATGTCTGGGGGTATAGCTCAGTGGTAGAGCATTTGACTGCAGATCAAGAGGTCCCCGGTTCAAATCCGGGTGCCCCCTTATTTTCATTTAAAAATTCCAAATGCTTGAGAACATTTCCATTACCTATTTAGCTGAGACTGTAGGAGCTCCAGTCTGGATTCAAGCTCTCGAGGACGAGCTTCAGTACAAAGAGAGGGCTGGAAAGCAGCTCTCACTGCGGAAGGCCTTCTTTGGTTTTCTGACAGCTGGCTGGATCTGCGGTCTGACCAGTAGCCATACAAGCCTGACATGCTGATAGGGGGCGCTGCTGTGCAAGATCAAAAATACAGGAATAAATAAATTATGCTGTGATGCTTGACTGAGCATTTAATCTTACAATTCTTCCCCTGCAGTCTCTGCACAAAGATAAAATCCCTAACCATTTCAAAATTTTCAACAATCTATCTATAGAGAAGTGAAGGTTTTGCCTTGCAAAGAATATTCATACCTCTTCAAACTTTTGAAATTTCTCACATTAAAACCTCAGTGCCAATATACTGTATAGGATGCAACACAAAGACGCCCATAATTTTAGCAATAATACAGTTTTTAAAGCATGGGTGCATTTGTATTCAATGTCAAATAATATTTAACCCTTAATAAAATCCAGACCACTACTTGCTTTCAACCATTAAACAATTAGGAAATAGATAATGTATTTCATACAAGGAATGGAAAACTAGACGTAATAGCATCATGATATGTCAATGAGAACATGGATTTAGCTTGATACAGAGTATTTCAGGAAGATGACGCTACAAAGAACATTAACCTTCAAGCAGTACTAAACTATATACCATCTTTATTGGTATGGCAACTTAAGACAAACCAAAGTGCTGCACATATTAGAAATAATGCGCCAGATAAAAAGAAATAACAGAAACTTTTTACGTTTTCAAAAAGTAAAAAAAATCATGTTGCAAATATGTGCATTTTGAGAAGATTTTTACATGACGCTTGTCTAACATGTGATGACAGTTTGTTCCACTTCTTTGGACCACCTAAAGAAAAGCATGGTTACCTCTAGTTTACACAAAGTTTTTGGCTCTATAAGGTGTAGCTGATTATCAGACCTATTAGAGAACACAGGTGTATATAGCTGTAGGAGCTCACAAAGGTAAAGAGGCTTTGAAAATTTGAGAAGGACCCTGAAATATGCAGTTGACCAACAGAGTCACATTAAAACAAGGATGATGTGCTTTAGACTTCAGTGCTTCAGTTAAGAGCTTTGCTGCAGCATTTTGCACAACCTGCAGGCACCTAACCCCTTATATAATGATTTCCTTGAATGTAAAAGCTTTATTTTTTTAACTAACTAATAAATACAATCCAAATATAAATGCATATTTATAGTTGCAAAATGTGAAATGTGATACTTTTACAAAGCAATGTATGATGAAGGCCTTGTTGGTACCTGAGTATGGAGATGCACTAACATCCACAGCCTGTCCCACTAGAGCAGAAGGTCCACAGTGGGGCCGAATATTGACTCTTGAAGGTTGGTAGTCTCTGGTGTCAGGTCCTTGGACAAACAGCTCCTCCTTGTGTTGCGCCTGCTTTATTTCCTCATCGCTAGACTGAGAACAAACACTAGCACTGCTGCAAAGATCCTCCCAATGATTCCCGGCTACCATTCCGCGCCGGTGGTTTATAGTTAGACATGATTGATCTGGGAAAGAGTCTTCATGATCCATCCCGTCTGTGTGGATATAAAGCAAAGTTTATGACAATTTGAGGCAAACTATTAGAGTAAATCTACTTCATACCACTCACCTGGCCGGTTCCGCCGCCTTAGGGAACTTCTCCGATGTCTTGTCATTCGGCAGCCACACTCAGAGTTCCTGGTCGGGGTTGTCTGGTTTATTCTATCTACCTGAGTTATATTAAGTTCAGTCAGTAGTTTTAAACATAAATGATCCATTGGTTAGCATTTAAACAATGTTTCTAAAACACTTGTTGGCAGGATCTATGGTCAACTTTTCATATTTTGTCTTATTCCAAATTCCATTGTGTTATTTTGAACCCAAGGTATCACTTTTCCTTTTTCTAAATAACATTTAAAGTTAGGACTGTAATTGTCTTTTTATATCCTTTCTGTTTAGGCCTTTTACTCGACCATAACACCTTATTGTGCAGAATTTTAAACAAATTGAACAAAATGATGAATAATATGAAGTTAAATGATCTTTGAGAATGATGAGACCCTATTTTCCAGTATTTTTATCAATACTTTTTTTTTATTTGGTCAGGCAAAAAATTGCGTCTTAAAGATGTGGTGCTGGTAATAGACTGAATAAAAACCAACAAACTGTTTTTCTGCTAAGATGTTTTACGTCACCACAAAGCTGGTTCACTTCTTGACTTAAAAATATTGTTTGTATGAATAATTCATAATTAAAAGATTTTCAGTTACTATGCTGAAATTAAGAGAACGGGTTGACAAAGTCTAATAAAAATGTAAAACTTGATCAGAAAAAAATTGCAGATAAAACAAACTTTAATAAATTACAAGAAAGCAAAATAGAAGTAAATTATTCACGAGTTTTACCATTAAAACCACCATTAATTAATTTTTAAAAATTTTTAATGACTCAATAAATTTTTGATACCACTATCAGTAATAAAAAATAAAGATGTTATGGCAATCACTGCCCTCTAGTGGTACTCACATCTCTGAGGTTAAAGGTAATCTCCAAGTTATTCCAGAAGGTGTCAGCAAAGTCAGGATACATCTCTAGCACCTCCAGCAGGTCGTCCCTCAGGATCTTGTGAAGGTCACAGTAGGTCAAAGCCCTAACGTCAGCGCTGGATTTCCCTGGCCTCCCATATATGTGGTTGGGTTCACCAAAGATATCATTCTTTCCTACAAAACAAGTAGGAAATATACATCATTACTGGGTACACCAGGAACTACTGGAGATACAAGGATTGTATATGAATGTTATTGTGAGGAAAAAATGCTAAACAATCACTCAATCCTTATCCAACCTGGTCTAAGGCGGAACAAATAAACAGTCCTCACAAACATGGCTTTAAAAGAACTGACCTATGCAGCCTGGATTTGAGTGCTTGCCCTATTGATGATCAATGCAATTGGGAAATGAAAGTGGAGCTGTGCCCAAACACCTCTGGGCGGCACAACACACAAAAACAAACCATGCCGCTAATACGTCAATGCTAGTATTAAGTTAGTAAGAGCTGAATGAAAACAAACAAAAAAAACATTATAAAATGTTATTACAGAAACATACAAGTTCCTTGTTTAGAAATACAGCATATGTAAATGGATTATTTGGAACTCACCCAGTATGGCCACCACTACATCGTCCCTCAAAATCTCTATTGAACCCCTGGACAGGAAGTAGAGGGCAGTAAGGATGTCCCCATTGTGAACAAGAGTGTCACCCGGTGGAGCATGGGTGGTCTTGAATCTCATGGCGAGAGCTCGCAAGCAGCCCTTGTTGGCACCTCGGAAGGCTTTGCAGTTTTGCAGCAAGCTGCGATGCAGATGTAGACAGATATCAGCTTGCAGACATTCAGGGAAGCCCTTTAACACCTGCAAAAAAAGGCAGAAATTGCATCCCATTTCTGGCACAGTGATTAAAAATCAAGTTCTTTAACAGAGCAAAATGGTAGATAAAACACAACCCGGGATAAAAAAAACAATGTGCTTGACTGATTAAAAGAAGAGCAACGATCCAGGATAGCAGATCCACTGATTTTCTCTTCTCACATTAAAGTGACTAGCCACGTCATTCTCTGATACACATCATTACCCAGAAAATAGGCCAATGAATTCAGTAAAAGAGCTGCATAATTAAGGGGCACCCATATTTGAACTGAAGACCTATTGATCTGCAGTCAAATGCACTAAGCTATACTCCCAGAATCATTGTTAGCACATTAGTGAAAAAATACAAGCATCATCCTTTATACGAACATGAAGGACAAAATGCTGGAAAACTGGGTCAGCGCAACTGAACGGAACATTGTAAAAAAAAAAAAACATTGGTCAAGCTAAATGTCAAAGTTAATGCAGCAAATGGACTGAAAGACAGAAGAGCTGCAATAGATGCCAGACAGTGAAAAGGATCCTTACAATGGACAACATATTTGAAATCCCTAATGGCTGAATTTCATGGATTTCCATGTAGAAATTGAATTCTGCTCTCATGAGCTTTTTACTTACAGCATTCATGTCAATGCCATTGGTGTAGGACCAGGCATGCTGAAAGTACTCCTCCAGCCTTTGTCTCAGGCCTCCTGGGATCTGATGGAAGCGAATGAACTCTTTGACCCGCAGCATCTGAGTGTGGTATCGAGCTGTGCCAGAGTACAGTCTCTGAATGATAGCAGAGACGTTCCCAAATATGCTGGCATACATTAGAGCTGCGAGGGACACAGGACCCAGATACAAAATTTGTTGTTTTTTGAGGATTAAATCACAATGACATTTAATCACAGTCAAGGGCTATTGTAGAAAAGTTGTTAAAATGGCACAGAGAAAAACTTCATAAAACCAAGAGAACTAATAGTGTAAATAACTGTTAAATTTTATATAAATATGTAGTTCTTTATATATAGAACTACTCTAGCGCATCACTGTTTTCTTCCAGCTGGACTGGCTTTTTTCATACAGGGTACTATGTAAAAGGTACTATGATTTAAACATGGAGAAGCAGCATTTAGTTCCTATGCTCCACTTATCT